TATATACACACACACACACACACACACATTTTCCGAACCACTTTCATCCTCACTAGGGTCACGGAAGGTGCCGGAGCCTATCCCACAGCAGTCTTCGGGCAGTAGGCGGGGGACACCCTGAACCGGTTGCCAGCCAATTGCAGGGCACACAGAGACGAACAACCATCCGCGCTCACACTCACACCTAGGGACAATTTTTTTGAGTGTTCAATCAGCCTGCCATGCATGTTTTTGGAATGTGGGAGGAAACCAGAGTACCTGGAGAAAACCCACGCAGGCACGGGGAGAGCATACAAACTCCACACAGGAAGGCCGGTGTCGGAATCAAACCACGCACTTCTGCACTGTGAGGCCAACGCGCTAACCAGTCGGTCACCGGGCTAGCCTTATTATAATGCATTTAATTAAAAATAAAATCTACTTCACCTTTGGCCCCGAAGGTCCTTGTGATCCCTATAAAGGACGAAAGAATACACTGTCAAAGTTGTGTATACAGTATGTATTTAAGGTGTACGTGACTAAAAAGCTCTGGGCAATGACTGTAATAACTTTAAATAGTTACGTAGTCATGTGCATGAGCAAGAGTGGCATTTGATATTCTTGGTCAATGACATCAATGTTTATTATAGTTTGGTTTCATAAAATATTTGACTCACTGCTGGGCCAACTGGTCCTGAGGGCCCCGGGGGACCTGGAGGACCATAGAGCTGAAAAAGAAAGGACCAAAATAAAAATTTAGAGGCTTTGATGATTTAAAATTTTTACTTTCCAAAATATGATATATTATATAACATACCATCTCTGACCTTCCCCCTTCACCAGTCTCGCCTTTTGTTCCCTGAGGAAAAAAAAATACAACAATAAAAAACAAAACACTGCAAAATAATAAAATAAGCAGGCAAATAAAACACACACACACACACACGCACACACACACACACACACACACACACACAAACTCACACACACACACACACACACACTTTCTGATCTGCTTATCCTCACAAGGGTTGTGACGCATGCTGGAGCCTATCCTAGCTGTCTTCGGGCAGAATTGGTTGCCAGCCAATCGCAAAGCGCACATAGACGAACAATCATTTGTGCTCACAGTTACACCAAAGGACAATTTAGAGTGGTCCATTAACCTGCCATCCATGTTTTTGAAATGTGGGAGAACACCTGAGTACCCGGAGAAAACCTGCGCAGGCACGAGGAGAACATGCAAATCAGCAAGGTCTGCAGAAGCTCCATAACGAGCCTGATCATTTGAATCTGGTGTGTTGCAGCAGGGCAACATAAAAAAACTTTCAGGGAACTGGCCCTCGAGGAACAGGATTGAAGACCCCTGGTGTATGACTTCAAAAGAAATAATAAGCATGCATGCCATATATTGTACATTTAACAAATCTATTGTTCAAAGAGGGAATTGTCCTGATCCACGATGAGTTTGGTGGGGTTTTTTCTGGAAGTTGGCCTTTCCATGTGATTTTCTTTATTTCCCCTAAGCAACAAAGGGGGGAGTTAAGCAGGGAGGCAAGCACTTGCCAGCCATTGTCATCAGGTCTCAGTTGGAAAGCTCTGCGGTCACACAAGGAATATGCCAGATTATTTATTTATTTTTTTGTATTCTCGTTTACCCTCACAAAATTAGGGTGTTTTCCTGGTGTCTAGCTTGTTGCACTTCTTGCTCTTTTAGTCACTGTTTGTTGGACTTTTAGCTTTTTTGTTTAGCTCCCTAATTATTATTTGGACTTCATGTTTATTCGTCTTTGATATTCGTATTTTGTTTGAAATATAATTTCCCCTACTTATAAACAGCACTTTATAGAACCATTTTTCTAATGTTATTATTTTTGTGTACACAACTCATCAGCAGCACATATTTTGGAACATTTTTGTGGGGGGAGTAAAGACTTTTGAGTCACTCTTTCCATACCCTGTGTCTGCTTTAGGTCACTACAATAAGTAACATTACATTAATTGCCAGAAATATTTATATAAATGTTTTACCTTGTCTCCATCAAGGCCTGGCGGACCTGGGAGGCCAACTTCACCCTAATGATGACACAAAATGCAGATGAGAACTTAGCAAAGACATCCAATAGCTGAGGCTGACTCAAGTGCTATATCCTGGACCAGGGGTCACCATTTTTTTTTTTTTTTTTGAAACTAAGAGCTCCTTCTTGGCTACTGATTAATGCGGAGGGCTACTGGGGTGATCGTATGCTTGAATTACCTTCATAGGTGATAATTAATGATTAATGATATTAATTTCTGAGAAGACATTGATCACATTAGCGATTTTTCACAATAATTGTGAAACGGATAAATATCAATCGGCCGCACTTTATTATAAATATCTGCCAGTGTGTTGACGTTTTGAAATGGTCACTTTGAATATATTCCTGGAGAATAGCAGTGTTTCATCACTAGTGAACTATTTTGGAATATGAATTGGAATATATATGAATATATATTTGAAATGTGCATGTTAAGTCTTATTTAAAATGTCTGCAATTCATAAATGGCAAATATCTTATTTTTGTGAAATCTCATGAATTAAAACTGAAAGTCTACAATACATACAAACATACAAACTCGACTCCAAAGGTTTGATGGAGACTGATGTGAACCCATGACCCTTTCCACTGCGGGGCAGCGGTGCAAAGCAGTCTTCCGGTGTATTGCCACAAAATAAAATTACAGTTCCTGAATATATGAATGGTGTCTTCATTTGGCTTCCTCTGTGTTGCCAATACTATTTATAAAAACATATCTTACTTTTGCCCCAGTGAACCCTGGAGGCCCCGGAGGTCCAGGTAATCCAGGCGGGCCCTAGAAGTTGGATGGAAGAGGCCATTTACACATCTAATATAGTACTGTTTATGCAGATTTCAATCAATTTACACATCTAATATAGTACTGTTTATGCAGATTTGAATTGAGTGATTTATTACCCCAAATGAACAAAAAACATTCAATCAAATCAAATCTTACCATCAGATGTATGTTGCCAATATCCTGCACGGGGGAGACATGAGAATCACAATTCTTTCACCGATTATTTTTATTGTATTGTTCAAATGATATGCAATAAGTGTCCCATACATTTTCATTATGGTGGATTTCAGCTTTTCCGGGTTCGCCAGGTGCACCTGGAGGGCCCTATGACAAGAGATAAGTAGGATGTACATTTTATTATCGACATAATCATCATGAGTAGACAAAGTGGAAACAGCAAACTGCTTGAAATCTTCAAGTCATGACTCACTCTTGGTCCAGCTGGGCCTTCAGGGCCTGCCTCTCCCTGGGAAGTCGACAGAGTTACAATAGTCACATTGACTTACTTTTTTTGCTTAGAAGTTCTTTTCAAGCTCTTTCCCACAACTTTATGATCATACCTGGATTCCCTTGTCGCCCTTGTCACCCTGTAAGAATGCATCATATTCATTGCATTTCCATTGCCAATTATTCACAAAGATTGAACATAGTTCAACAAGAACGTCACTTCCGGCAGACTCTAACAATTGCTCAGTACCTTCGGTCCCATGAGGCCTGGCACTCCTGGCGATCCGGGTTCTCCTTTAATTCCAAGTGTGGAAATAATAGCCTCTCCCTTCTCTCCCTATTAGAAATAAAACTCTGGATTAAGATCACTTTATTCCAGATGAATATCACAATTTAACATATTGCATTTGGCCTTCTGATAGTAAGTTTGAAGTCCCCAAATGTAAAATCTGTAGGATATTAGGTATTTACTGGAAACATGTTTTGTTAGTAAAGCCTGTGTTCCGCCATCAAACTTCCATTGCACTTCTTTCTTCGTGATTGAGTTGATCTGTTCGAATATTAAATTCAGGTTGGATTCTGATCATTAACCACATGTAACTAGTTCGCTTAGGTATCATCAGTTCTGCCAAGTGACTAAAGAAAAATGAACAAAAACAAACTACTGATGAGAATTTTAGCCGAACGAGATGCAATTAAATTTAAGCATTATCATTTTAGAGATGACACATTTGTCAAACAGTGCTACTCTAGTTGCAGTGCATTGTCTCACAGCTGTTTTTTGGGGGTTAGGTGGGGGGGATGATATCACTTGTAATTTGACCAAGTTTTTTGTCATAATAAATGGACATCTTGGCTTTAAAAAAACCCTGTCTGAGGTGATATTATTAATAATAGATTTGTTTGTTTGTTTGAATTGTTTGACAGCAAACAGTCCCTGCCCACCAATCAAGTGTGAAAGTAACAAAATAATTAAAAAAAAAATGTACCTTATCATTTTATATACAATTTGTATATGAACGGTCTGTTTTTAAGTTTGTCAAATCATTGTTAAGCAAAGCACCTCGATCCAATATTGTCAAGTGATTACGGCCATCAGACTACATGAAGTTCTATCATGCCAAAACCAAAAAGCTGCAGTGTTAGCACAGAACAGCCTTAGCTGACAGTGTTTGCTTCTGATATTATGTAAATACGTAACTATATCATATTGTACACATTGTTGTATACATACTGTATGTGCATTTGCTTTTATTTTACTTTCTTTTACTCTGTCAGCAGGCAGGTCAGCATTGCACATGAGCATCTGTTCTCAACTGGCTTTCCTGGAAAAATAAAAGGTACCGGTAATAAAAATATGCAATAAAAACTAATTGAATAATCATCTAAGTTGTTGACATTGGGGTGGGAGCGATTGTGTTTGGTGATGTCAAACGTCCCACATCTACACTATTTGACAGGTGTAATTCACTGGCTTGGTGATAAAATGCAGCCTCCACGAATGAAAATTCAAATCTCGATGGCCACGCACTTCATGGCAGGGAAATGGTTAATTTATTAATTGGTGCTTTTGTGGAAGTGCCATACATTTACAGTCTGGATCTGAAGGGGAGAAAAACCTGGTCTGAAGATAGACTCAGATACTCCAGAAGTCTTCACTAATGCAATAAAAAGTTGCAATAATTGTTGCCCGTAGTTGTATGTATTTATTTATCTGTATAGTTCCTCGACAGGTTGTTTAAGTTGCTGAATATGCTACATAGATGCTAAATTGGGAAAAAAAAATGCCATAGTTGCTTGGTTTTTCTTATGCCTTAGCCCAGGGGTAGGGAACTCCGGTTCCTCGAGAGCCATATCCTGCCTGTTTTTGATCCCTCCCTCCTCCAACACACCTGATTCAATTGAGGATGATCTTTTTAGGCCTCTACAGAACTTGCTGATGAGCTGATCATTCGAATCAGGTGTGTTGAAGTCGAGAAGGCTCTAAAACAGGCAGGATATGGCTCTCGAGGAACCGGAGTTCCCTACCCCTGCCTTAGCCCATCATGATAACAAAAAGCCGTACTCTCCGTGTGCATGAGATCAAGTGATGGTGGATATTTAATGGGCTGTAATTCTTCACACTTGATTTTGACAGAAGGTCAGATGAATTTTTGACTATATTATACAGCCAAAAACAAACAAACAAAAATGTCGACATGACACAAACATGCAGTTACAGCACAAAATGCCCGGAACACAATCACAAATTCTTTTGCCACACCAAGCCTACCCTATAGCCCCTCTTGCCAGGGATGCCAGGGGTGCCGGTCTGGCCCTTTATAGTGAAAGACAAACAGCTTTGACCTACTCAGATGATGTGAACACTATACTGTAATTCCCACTGACACCAGCTCAGTAGCCACATTACCTTTGACCCAGGGGTGCCTGGGAGACCTGGTTCTCCCTTTACAGCATTGATGCCATAAAGATCAAACAACAAAGACAGAAAAGGGAGGGGAAAAAAAGCATGTCGTTCAAATGGTACATAAATCATCCAATACAAAGTTAAAAGTCGATTAAGTCAGATTGAGAGTAAAGAATGCAGTCTAATTGTTAATTACAAAACTTCATGCAGAACTGAGAGCAATGTTAATTCGAAACTGCACGTGTGAGCAATTGCGCACTTCTGTCTGATACAAATGACCAATTGTACGTTAAAAATGAACTCTGAATGGTGAGAAATGGCAGCCATGTTAAATAGCGTTGGAGGCATACTTCGACACCAACAAATGATCAGCGTTCGCTTTGCAAAATACGTGATGCTTGCAGCTGAACTGTGTGCCTTTCAAATCCCCCGACTCAGGTGCAAGAATACCCCAAGAAATTGCATGCAACTAGCGTGAAATAATTTATCGATCTGCTTTATTGAACATGAATTACCAATAAAACTGGACCCAACGCTTGACCCATAGCTTTCTTGGTCATTGTGGAGTTAAAAAGAGTCGATATCATATTTTGCAGGGGACGAAATGGACTTTCAGTTCAATTTGCTAAATCGTGAAGAGTACTAATGTTTATACAGTGGTGTATAACAGTGATGGTGGCACCTTTTGGACACAGAAGGAAATGAACCTAATGTGTTTTTTTTCTGGCATCATATTATCACATTATGGACAGAGTGGGACTCGATTAAATGGTATTACAGTACTGTATTTTCCGGGCTATAAGTCACTCCTGCGTATCAGTCAAACCAGCCATAAAATGCATAATAAAGAAGAAATAAAGAACACATATAAGTCCCACTGGAGTAGGAGTCGCATTTTTGGGGGGAAATTTATTTGATAAAATCCAACACCAAGAACAGACATGTCATCTTGAATGGAAATGTAAAATAAAAATAAAAATAGAGAACAACAGGCTGAATAAGTGTACGATATGCTAACGTTACATGACGCACAAATAACGAACTGAGAACGTGCCTGGTATGTTCACATAACATATTAAGAGATATTCAGATAACTACATCATAAGGTGCATGCTAACAAGTTGACCAAACTATCAGCGTCACTCCAAATCACTAAATCAAATGAAATTCTCTGTGTCACTTTTAAAGAACTCCGAACTCCGGAGGTACAAGATACGGCGCTTCCTCTTCAACGTTGCTTACATCAGAGTCATCGTCAGTTGTTTTTATAAGTTACCGCCAATGTGTAAAGTATCAACACAGGCCTTAGAGCAGGGGTCCCCAACCTTTTTTGCCCCACGGACCGGTTTAAGTCAGACATTATTTTCAGGGACCGGCATTTAAGGTGTGGCGGAATTAATACAACAAAATAATATGGTATGAGCTGCATGAAAACTGTGGTGTTTTCGAAATACAATAATAAACACAAGGAGCGTCTAATCTGGTCGCAACACTCTTATCGCTCTGGTAATGTTTAATGCCTTCAAAATACGATACAACGCAAATTCAAAGTGCATGAAAATGACGACTCACCACAGCCCCGAGCTTGATTTTC